GCATTGCCACGTGGACATCTCCCTTGGGGGGTGATTTCTCAGTTTTTCTCTCTCTCTGTTTCTTTCTGCCTGTCTGTGGCAAGCACTTGTGCCCTGTGGCAAAAAAGAAAAATAGAAAGTGGACAGTAAAAATTCTAACTTTATAAGTTTTTAAGAATAAGGAGTTACTTGCATTGAGTAATGAAATTGCTCAGTTGAGAATAGGAATAGCATAAAGATATTTTCTACATTTTTATCACATAGTTCAAAGCGATCAAATAGACATTAGAGTCGGGCATAACCGTGCAAGTATATTATTTGGTAGCCCATTAGCATCTTAGAAATAATTAGTATAACTAGAAATGATCTTATATATTATTTAGTCTAGTTTTTGACCTTTTTTGTTTTCATCAGCATCTTTCTTGTAAATGAACTCAGAGAATATGCAGACATATATCCATGCAAACAGAGCTGCTCTGGTTGGATGAGGCTGAGGGACAAGCCCTTGGCTACGCATTGCCTTCTCCTACCCTGTGCATAAGCCAGGTCCCAGAGCCCCTGGAATATAGTTTGAGAGCCTGTGGTCTAGAAATCCCCCACTGTATTGCAGGAAACTGAGAGAATGGTCTATTTCACTTAGGAGACATGCCCAAGGGCACATGACTCATAAGCTGCAGACCCATGAGTAGAGCCTCTATCTTCATTAATCCTTCAGTCAAAGTCACATTGCTTTGAAAAGGTTGGATGCATATAATCAGTCTAATTTCTTGCAGAAAACCCCACTTTTGTAATATATTTCTAATTATTAAAGTCCTTTATTTTTCTGTTCACATTTTCAGATATATAATGCAAGCAAAAAAAATCCACTAAGAATTTTTGCCATCAGATAAAATCTTAGCATCCAGAAAGCAAAGATCTTTGGACAACTCTGTAGTTGCCTGAAAATAAAAATGATAAGCTGTGTTTGAGCTCTCACTGGAGCTTTATACAGGCTTTCTTTCACAGCTGTCTCTTAGCATCAGTAGTTCTTGTATGCAGATCTTGAAAATAATCCTTCTGACCATTTGTCAAAAGAATATGTACTTTGAGTTCTTTTCCAGCGTGGTAATGGGATTGCACACTTACTGACTTTGTTCTCATGATCCACAATGCATTTTTGAATAGTGTGACTCCATTTGAGTAAGGATGGAGGTGGGGCACTTTTGCCAAGGAGCATATTCTTGTGGGTAAAATAGAAATCAAACTCAAAGTTAATGTCCCTTGTTCCTCCATATGGGTCATCAGAAAAGTCATGACACTTTGCATAGAAAAACAGAAAAAAATGTCATGACTTTTTCAATGACCCAATAAAAGCTAGTATTCCTGATAATATTTCCTTTTACTCGCTTGAAGAGAGTTCAGGCTACTGAGTTTCTCAGGCTATAAACTGTGATCCAAGCTTATGAAAAGAACTCTTTGTGAACCTGACCTATTTTTTTAGAGGAGCCCACACACTTTAATAGGTAGGGTATGGGGAGGACATGGGAGAAGTGGTGAGAGACACAGGATTTGGTGGGGTAGGGGGAGACCAAAAAAAAAAAAAAAAATGGTGATGTACTATCTCCCACAATATGAGCTTTGTGCAAAATTAATACTTCTATAAAGTGTTATTTTACTGGTAAAGATCTGTGGGCTCCAGGCTGAAATATTGAATAAAGGGGTAACAAAGAAATCTTTCCCCCTTCTTTCCTACTGCCCATACTTTCCTATAACTTTTCAAATTTTCCGCAAGTTAACTGGATTGTTTTGTGGGGGAAGGGAGCAGGGGTGGTAGGTATCAGCCAGTTTCCAGACACAAGTACTCACAATTAGAACTGACAGTTGAAAGAAACCCTAATCCTTTGCATCAGACCCTCACTCCAGAGGTACACCTGTTTAGTGCCGTGTTCTGGCTAAATTATCCCCAAGAGCAGGTGATCCCCAAAGGTAGACTTACATAATGCTCGGAGACTTACGAAGCTCATGTGTAAAGAAGAACATCCTTTGCTATTAAAAATGCAGTCCTGTGAGATGTCTTGTAGCAGTTGTGACTTTTTCACCCTCTCCATTTTATATGAGACACCAGGGACCAAGGCTTAACTTTTTAAATTATTTTTACCTTGTAACGTGTATGTTTTTCTGAAGTACTTGACTTTGCTGAACCTGCCCACAAAAGTGATTTCACTGCTTAAACTTTTGAAATATACTATACTTTGTAAAGTCTAACAATATACAGTAAACAAAAAGTCTGCGACTTTGATTAAATAATGGTTCTTGAGAATCTCTAGTGTATCCAAAGTCTCAATAAGCCATAAAGTCTCTAAATTGCTGGTTTGCAAAAAAAGTCCCAAAACTTAAATTAATAATTTATCTAATAATATTCTAGAAAATGTAGTCAATTACTATATGGTCTTTCAAGGAATTAGTCTAACATAAAACTTTTTTTCCATTCCTTGGAATTTTTATTGTTCCTGTTGCGATAATAGGGACATTGGATACTCAACAAACAAATCTAACATCATTCTTGTGGAATACTTTAAGAATTAATTTTGAAAGAAGAACCAAGAGAAATCTATTTTCATAAATGTTACTCTGAAAACTAAACAGTATTTTAAAATGTCACACAAATTTGTGAACCTTTTGAGCAAGTAATTTTGCATTTCCATTATTTAATGCTGGTACTATGGAAAATGGGTGACCTGTTTTTTAAAGGGCAAGAAATGATTAGGGCAGCTCTTTCTAAAATTAGATGCAACCCAAGAATCCATATTAGCATTGAGGAAATTGAGACCCAGGATGATTTGGACTAGATTAATTACTGTGTACTGTGCATAGTATGGCATGTTAGAAAAATCATGATCTTTAAAATTAAACCTGTTTGCTATCAATTACTAGTGTGAACAAGTTAGTCTGATTGTCATCTATAAAACGGAACTTAAAGAGTTTGGAGGGTATTTTCTTTGAACTGGTCACCTTATTGCTGTAGGTGTATTGTGAACGTGTGTTTCATTATCCTAATTCTTTATTGCTAAATTATTGAAAGAATGCCTTCTAGTGGAAGGAGTGAGGCTAAAGGAGGAACTGATTAGGCCAGTACCTCATTTATAATAGCCCTGTGAGATCTTCTGTGGAGTAATACTGCTAAATGCTGTGCAAACCTTAATCCTTTTCATGATGTCATTGTCCCTTTGAAATTTTATTCTACATATATGTTCCCTAAAGAAAAACACATATCACTTCTTCAGTGTCTCTGGAAATCCCTAAGTCACAGAATGAAGTGAATTGCTACAACAGGAAAATACAGTTGTCCCTCGATATCCAGGAGGATTCGTTCCAGGACCACTGCAGATACTGAAATCCAAGGATGCTCAAGTCTCTTGTATAAATTGGCACAAAATTGTCATGTAACCTAAGCACATCTTTTCATATACTTTAAGTCATCTCTAGATTACTTTTAATACTTAAAACAATGTAAATATTTGTCATATTGTATTGTTTAGAGCATGACAGAACAGTGTACATGTTCAGGGCAGGTACAAATAATATGTTTTTAATATGTAACTGAACGGGTGGATACAGAGAGCTGACTATACTACAAAGTAGTACAGAAACAGATACCCTATGATTCTGAGCCATTTCCCCTATCAGTGTTTTCCTTTCTCTTTAAACAGGTGGTTTCATCAAGGTCCTAATCCCTATAATGGCGCGCAGGATTGGATTTATTCCGGCAGCTACTGGGACAGAAACTACTTCAATTTGCCTGACATTTATTAAAATGCAGACAAGTCAGGGTGTTTGGCTAATCTACGAATAAGTCTTAAATCTATGTTTTTAAATTTTTTTTCTTTGTTTCTACTCATGTTTTAAAAAGGAAAAAAAAAACCCACTCATAACTTGCATTTCACCCAACAAAAGGATAAGGTGATGTTGGTCATGAAAGTCTTGGGAAAAATGTGTAATTTTGCTATCCAAACATACTTATTTGGAATACTATTTTATATAGAAGAGAAACTGTTGGAGAATATGCTTTTTATGGTTGTTCTTGCTGTATTTACTGAGAGTTTGTATCTTAATGCAACTTTAGCTTTATGGAATTATGTAGTAATCCCAAATCAAGTTATTCTGAATATTTTTATGCCGTCATGCTTGAATGTTTTAGATGTAACTTTGAAATATTTAAAAGTCTCCTCTACAATGTTTGTGTGCATAAATGTAGAGGTTATGCCGTTTTGTAAAGTCTACATGGATAAGATGGCTGTTATTCACACTAATCCTCTCAATCCCTCCCCACTTCTAAACACAAAATTGCCTGAAGACTCAGAATAAGTATACCTGATTTGAAAATTCTAAAGAATTCAACTGGAAAAGGTATTTTACTTACTTAGTGTTCTGAATTTACTTTTACAATTTTCTGTAATCAGCATTAGAGTTAAACTGTCTAAATTGTACATATGAACTGAAAATATGTATAAAATCTAGCAGTTTGCAAAAACGTCCTAGAAATATAGATTTTAATCACTATATCACATAATGACAAACCTTTTTAAATGCTTCAACTTTCAGTGGCTAATACCACCCGAGAAATTAAGTTGGACTCATGTATGTATTATAAATATCAAACTATATAAAAGGAGGTCTTGTGCATTTCAAATCTGCAAGGCACCTGTGTACTTAAAATATGTATGGAGACCTACTGTACAGTAGCTTTGCCCCTTTCATTGGGGTACATTAATCTTACGGTATTTATCCATCCAAACCCCAAACCTGAGATGTTGTTCTAAGGGGCCTTAGATAGCTGCCAGTAAATTATTTTAATTGCTGTCATAAAATTAACAAGTGTTATAATTAATCTACCTGATGCTAAATAAAGGCTTTAGAATGTTCTAAGGAAGTGTGATTTATTTTAAAATTAAAATATACCAATGTTGCCATTTAAGACTGTCCTAAGTTATCAAAAGTATCCCTTTCCAAAAGTCTTTGTGATGCCACAGTCCCAAGAGCCAAGGAGAGAAGCAGCCATTGAGCATGCATGGAAGTAGGCAAGCAGCACTCAGTTATGGTCTCTGGGTAATGCAGTGTAGTAGAGGTGTTACCGTATTCACTTCGTGTGCATGCCACATACAGAATTGTTGAATGCCTGGCTAGAAAACTAGTGACTTGGGCCTGCTGGTGGCATGGCAGTCAAGCCAGCTGAATCCCATATGGCTGTGTGATTCAAGTGAACCCCGTGACTTGAAAAGCTTGCTGGGCATGTGTGTGTGCGCACAAAATCCCAAAGACATGGGGAGAAAAGACTGCAGCATGACCAGCCCCCATGAGGGGGCTTTCTCTCATGATTACATGAGAAATTAAAAAAAAAGTCACTATATCTGTTAAGAGTGGGAATGGTCTTTAAAAATGTGTACATAAGAGTTGGAAATGCTGTTACTACACAAGTCTGACAAGACTTGAAGCCTTTTGTGTTTGGTTGGTTGTATACCTCCTAAATTATAAAAAGAAGCAAGAATACAAGGTTTTATGCTTGCATGAAGTTTATTATATTACGCTTGGTGGCAGACTCCACCTCTAATGTCAACTCAAGCAGCGTCATTTCCAGCATCTGTTAGGAATAATGTAAACATTGTTCAGTCTCATGATTGAGAAATCAGTGGAAGATCAGAAATGTAAGGTCTACCCTCCTGCTCTGTTACTAAACTTATAACTACTTACCTATGCTTTTGCACTAAAATATTCTAGTATTTTATGCTAAAAACAGCTATCTTGACAATTCCACTAAAAGTCTATAAAGGGGATGAGTAAGAAGTGCATAGGCCTAGATATTTTGAAAAGTGAGCTGGTTTTTCTCCTTATATTGTAGTAACTATAGTACTTGAGCCTGGTTATGATTGAAATCTAGCTTTTGTCCATCTCTCAGATGTTTAGCTTAACATTCTCACAGATTGTTTTCAGTAACTGAATTTGGCATTTTGGTGAACTCGTGTCCCCACTTCCTCTGTTACCTCCCTCCTGGCCTACTAATCCATTTTCCACATAGCAAGCCAGAGCTCATGAAAACTTGAATCTGATTGTCATTTTTGTGTTTGTAACATTTGTGCTGGCTTCTCACTGATCTTACAATCCCAATCTCTTTGATATGCAAGGGCCCCCCTCCTCATGTCTCCAGCTTCATCTTAGAGGCTCTTCCATGTTCTTTGCTGCACTAGACACTGAGCTCGCAAGGCTGATTTTCTCATACTCGGTGTCAGATTACATCCTAGCCTGAACATGCTACCTTAGACTAATAAAGGAGCGCCTGTACCAGTGCCCTGTTTTTATACTGCTGCATATATTGTAGCGTATTCTGTTCTGTCTCCCCCCTATGGTGCGGGTTTCATGTTTGCTCACCCTAGTGTCCACATGCTGTGGAGGAGAAGCGAGCACAGGCTTGACATTAAGTACTAGTTGAATGAAAAATTAACTGAATTTGGGGACCAGCAGTTAACGTAATGGCTATGTCGCTGGACTCCCATGTAGTCGACCGTGGTTTGAGTCCTGGACCCGGCGGCTTAAACTCACGCATGTGTGCCCAAGATCCCGAGAGGAGAATGGAGGAGAAGCGATTGCAGCATGGCCATCCCCCCTGGGGGGTGATTTCTCACTTTCTGTCTCTCTGTCTCTCTGGTGAGTTCATGGGCCCTATAGCAAAAACCCTCTCCAAAAAAAAAAAAAGAAAAATTAACTGAATTGTAATTGATAAGATCATCTTATCTACAATTACTTCCAGTGTTAATGTGTTTTAACCTGTTTCTTACCAAATGGGTTACATGGATACTCCGTGTGTAATCAGTACCCTTCTCTGACCTTGCTCTCTGGTGGTGCCCAGCTACTGTCTTATCTCTGCTCCTCCCACTCCTTTATGCCAATACGGTGTCTTTAAAAAAAAAAATCCATCCCTTTTTAGCATCTACCACAGTGCTAGACACAGAACCAGGTATTCAAAGATGACTGAGTTGATTGATTCATGCATTGGGTACCAAATCCTTGGTGTGGATCACTATGGTGCAGTGAACTTGCTGTGCATTATTAGTAATTGGCAGTTAGAAAGGCAGAGACAATAACCACTTCATATTAGAGTATACCCCAACTCATTGCACATTATTTCAATTCAATTTCGTTTTTAATATATCCTCTAGGTCAACAAATCAAAATGTTGAAAACACAGTGTGTTATGGCCCACATATTATGGTAGGAAAATTTACCTACCAGTTTTAAGTTTCTGCTTTGCGAACATGGGCAGTAGTCACGGTAATTTCTCCAGCAATACCGTAACTTCCAA